CTTCTGTCTGGGCCCCGGAGGGCTTGCCCAACCCTCAGTCAATCAGTAGTGGTGGGCGTGGCCCTATGCCAAACCGAGGGCTGTAATTGGCGGACTCCCGCTTGCAGCGGTAGGAAAGGGGCGGGGTGTTCAATCCGATTCGGATTGGCACTGGTTGCGCTTTCATGGCAACCAGTAAAGACTGTTGACTAGCCAGGGAACTTTTGCGCTGGTCCTGACCCCTGCCCCTCCGCTCTTCCTTTGGGTGTTCATCCTTTTTCTTGAGCGATGCCCTGTCTTTGTCGCATCTTGATCTCCATGCACAGAACCCTCAGGAAACCCCAGAGCACTAGCAGGAAGGAACCTCAGTGGAAGTGACCCCTGACCTCTGCCCCAGAGACCCAGCTGACCCCGGGAGACCCCGAGCTTTCTCGGTTTGACACCCATGCTTTGGGGAGCAGCCTCTGGGACTCAGACTCCACGGAGCTGGTTAAGCAGTTGCTATGGATTGATTCCAACCCTCAGAACCCCATGCGTCGAAACAGTTGGAAGGTTGGGGTCCTGCAGCCCTTCCCCACGGTACCCCACCCCCACGGGGTCAGCGTGGCTCAGAAACCTGTTGTGTGCCAGAGTTGGGCGTCTTGACCGGATCAAGTCAGGGGGTTCCAGACTGTAGCCCGGGGACTAAAGCAATAGCCTGATCCCTTACCGTGTCTGCCTTACCCACTCTACCACCAAGGCCTTAAAACGACATCACCCATAGCTACCTACTGACTATTGTTTTTCGAGTGACCTGGCCCACCATAATCTGCAGGGCTGAGTGCAAAATGCGAACATATCACGTTCAAAATGTGTTAAGAATGTCAAGCCTTGGTCAGCAGAGCATAGAACCAAAACCAAACCCAGTGGACTGGGGCTCGCAGTGATGCGTCAGGGCAGGATAGATCTGCCCCACGGCGTTCCTAAGGTGGCCGTCTTTACTAGGCCGCCACACCTTTCCCCCACTGAGTAGGTGTGGGGTTCCAAGCACCGACATCGTAGTTAGCCGAAACCTGCTTTACCCTGTGGGTGGCCCTGATGCTTTGGGGCCAGGTCCCGGGGAGCCGATTTGTTGGCTGGCTGCAGGGGTGAAAGTTCTCTGCCAGGCCAGACTGATGTTTTCCCCCTGGGTTTTTAAGGAGAAGAGACCAACAAGCACCACTGGAAGTCAAGGAGACCAAAGTCACGTAAAGAAGTCCCCAAACGTGTTGCAAAGGAGCCCAGGTGGCGTAGTGGTGATGGGTGAGGCTGCTAACTGAGAGGTTTGCAGTTCAAAGCCTCTAGCAGCTCTGCAGGAGAGGAGGCTAAAGAACTAGTTTCAGAAACCCTCTACCCCAGTGGTTCTCCACCTTCCTACTGCCGTGACCCTTTCATACAGTTCCTCATGTGGTGTGACCCCCGCCAACCATAACATTATTTTCGTTGCTACTTCATCCCTGTAATTTTGCTACTGTTATGAATCAGGAGACCTCTGTGAAAGGGTCGTTCGACCCCCCAAAGGGGTCGAGGCCCACAGGTTGAGAACCATTGCTCTACCCTGTCGTGGCAATGAGTTTGGTGTTTTGATTTTGTCTACATCCTTGAATAATTATGTTCAGAAACCCTGTCCTATAGAGGCGCTGTGAGCTGCAATCGACTCATTGGCAATGAGTTTGGTTCAGAAACCTGTTGCTGACAGAGTTTTCTCCACCCTGCTGCTAAAGTGACCTTTTTAAAACCCAATCACAGCACATCTCTCCTGGGCTTGGGCCCACACCTCCCCCTCCTGCTCCAAACACTCTCCTGGGGGACAACTGCCACCACCCCAGCCTCCCTGTGCTTTTGTGTTCCTGAACAGACCAAGCTTGTTCCAGGTACATGCGTCACACCCGCTTCTCCTCGGCCCCAAACAGACCCCTCCTGCTCGTGCCCAGCCATCAGGTCTTATGTGAAATGTCCCCTCTGTAGCGGTGCTCCTGCCGGGAGGCTGAGCATGGTTCTTCCCACTCCCCTTTGTTGTCCCTCGCCGGTTTCCTCCACGTTGCCCGTCATGGTGTGTATTTGTGTGTGTGTCCTGGCTTGTCACATCTTCCCCATCCGCTTCTCTGGCAGAATGCTAGCTCTGAGAGAGCGGGACCCAGCTCGTTCCTCTCACCTCTGAGTACCCCGTGTCGACACCACCCCCCATGGTGGACAGAGTGGAACCACCTGCAAGGTTTCCGACACTGAATCTTTACAGAGCGGACAGCCTCGCCTTTCTCCCCCAGAGCACCGAGTAGGTTGGAGCCACTGACCTTTTAATTAGGAGCTGTGATAGTTAAGGTTTATTGTGCCAACCTGGCTGATGAACACAAGTGGGATTCATTGAAGGGCGAAGAGATAAATGACTCAGCGAGCCTCGCCTTTCTTGTCTCTTGTTCTCTGATGGTCGGACCAGTGTGTGGCTGCCTTAGCTAGTTCTCTGCCTCAGCTAGCAAAACTCACTTCCTGGAAGACATCCCCAAGGAGAAACCGCATGGACCTACCCTGACGCAGCCCTGGGTGCTGGAGCAGCCGTGTGGAGACCCCTGTCAGTGCTGAGATGCTTACATGCTCACTGATTCAGTTTTCGGCGTCATTGCGTGTGCTTTGTGAGATGGAGGAGGACTTTGTAGATTGATGTCAGACAGATGGGCTAATGTCAGACTTATGGTCTTGGACTGGACTGGGTTGGGATGCTTAATGCACCATTACTGTTTATATAAAACTCTTATACAACATGAGTGGTTGTGAAAGAGTCTACCTAGACTAACTCAGTGGCCAAGCACTTATCCACTGCACCACCAAGGCATCTTGCCAACTGCCCACTGCCCCGGAGAGAGTCTCAGCCACACTCTGGGATGGAGCGTAGCCACCCCACAGGACTTCCGGGACTGTCATCTCTCGGGAAGCAGACTGCCTCCTCTTTCTCCCTTGGAGCAGCTGGTGGGTTTGAACTACTGGCCCTTTAGCTGGCAGCTCAGTGCTTGACCCACTTTGCCACCAAGGCCCCATGGCTGACCTTCAAATAAGGAGAGTCCTCTGGCTTATCCAGGTGTGCTCATTGTAATCAAAAGCCCAACCTGAACCCTTTGCTGCAAGTCAGTTCTGATTCATAGCGGAGTTCCGATTCATGTAGGGTGGAATTGTCTTTCCGCCAAGAATAGCTGGTGGGTGGGTTCGAACTACTGACCTTTCACTTCACAGCCAAGTGTTTAACCATTGTCACCAGGATATCTATCACCAAACCAAACTCACTGCCACCAAGGCAGTTCTAACTTTTAGCAACCCTAGAGGGCAAAGTAGAACGACTCCCTAGGATTTCTGGGGCAATCAATCTCTATGGGATTACAATTTAATGTAAAGAAGACCAAAATCCTTATAACTGGACTGATAGGTAACATCAGGATAAGGGGAGAAAAGGTTGAAGTTGTCAAGGATTTCATCTTGCTGTGATCCATAATCAATGCTTACAGAAACAGCAGCCAAGAAATCAAATGATGCATGGCACTGGGTGAATCTGCTGCCCGAGACCTCTTTAAAGTGTTGAAGAGCGTAATTAAGCAGCCATCAAGCTCAGAAGCAACAAAGCCCACATGGAAGAAGCACACCAGCCTATGCAACCACGAGGTGTCGAAGGGATCAGGTGTAAGGCATCATCAGAACAAAAAATCTTACCATAGTGAATGATGGGGGGAGTTTGGAGTGGAGATCCAAAGTCCGTTAGTAGGCCACTGGAGATCTCCTTGCAGAGGGGTCTCAGGGAGGAGATGAGCCAGTCAGGGTGCGATATAACAATGATGAGAAATACAACTTTCCTCTAGTTCCTAAATGTTTCCTCCCCACTCCCACTACCATGACTCGAATTCGATCTTGCAAGTCTGGCTAGACCAGAGGAGGTACACTGGTACAGATAGGAACTGAAAATACAGGGAATCCAGGACGGATGAGCCCTATAGGACCAGTGGTGTGAGTGGCAAAACAGGGAGGGTAAAGGGAGAATGGGTAGGAAAGAGGGAACCGATTACATGGAACTGTGTGTGACCTCCTCCCTGGGGGACAGACAACCGAAAAGTGGGTGAAGGGAGACGTCAGACAGGGCAAGATATGACAAAATACCCATTTATAAACTATCAAGGGCTCATGAGGGAGGGGGGAACAGGGAGGGAGGGGGAAAATGAGGACCTAATGTCAGGGGTTTAAGTGGAGAGAAAATGTTTTGAGAAACGATGTACAAATGCGCTTTACACAATTGATGTGTGTATGGATTGGGATAACAGTTGTATGAGCCCCTAATAAAATGTTAAAAAAAAAAAAAGTGTTGAAGAGCAACGATGTCACTGTAAACACTAACGTGCATGCAACCCAAGCCAGGGTATTCTCCATTGCATCATATGCACGGGAAAAGTATGTATAGAATAAGGAAGATGAAAGGAATCAATGCGAGCCCAATGGTGGAAAAAACCCAGCACCTCACGTGTGATTCCTTTTATCCAAAACCAAACCAGGCTCGCTGCTGTTGAGCCCGTTGCAGCACCTGGCGGCCCTCAGGGCCAGAGTGGAACCCCCCACCGGCTCCCCAGGGCTGCATGTATCTTCACAGAAGCAGTGTCTCATCTTTCTCCCACAAAACAGCTGGTGGGTTCAAACCACTGACCTTTCCATTAGCAGCCCAGTGCTGAGCCGCTATACCAGCAGGCCTCCTGATTCTTTCTACAGGGGCGGGGTTGGGGAGTGACTTGCAAAGTCAGGCTCGAAATGTATCCATGTGTCCGCCCCTAGTTTGTGCTCCAGTATCTTTGCCTCTGTACCCCAGGCATCTTACACTTGATCTGTTATCCTTACAACTACCCAGTGTACACATTCAATCATCATTCCCATTTTACAGATGAGGAAAGTCAGGTCGCCTTCCCAGAGCCCCACAGGCATGGGGGGAAAGGGGGATGTGGGCCCCAACCCTAACCAGCTCCTCTGCCTCTCCACAGCCTCCATGTACTCGGAGATCCAGAGGGAGCGTGCAGACATCGGCGGCCTGATGGCCCGGCCGGAGTACCGGGAGTGGAACCCGGAGCTCATCAAACCCAAGAAGCTGCTGAACCCCGTGAAGGCCTCTCGGAGCCACCAGGAGCTGCACCGGGAGCTGCTCATGAACCACAGGAGGTGGGGGACAGGCACGGCTAGCTGGGCCTGCAGAGCACCCTTCCTGGAAGGCAGGTTGGCTGTCACCAGCAGACTGATGGTCCCATCAGTCCCCAGAGCCCTTGGAACTGGAGGGTCCGTAAAGCCCCACTCTCCCACCCAGCCACCTACCTTGTACCAGCCCTCCACGTTGCATTTCCTGAGCACCTACTATGTGCGGGGCACTGTGCTCAGACCTGGGCGTGCAAAACAGAATGAGACCCAGCTTCTGCCCCCATTGGGGAGGAGGTGTGGGGGGAGCGAGCAGATGAATACTATGGCAGGTGCTTGATAGCGGTCCGTGTACACGGACGGGCCTGTGGCCTCAGCAGAAGCCCTTAGGTGAGGCCCAAGGTAATGCCCTGGCTGAGGCCCATAGAGTGGGCAGGAGTCAGCCAGGTGGGGTGGGCAGGGATGGCTGAGGGAAACAGGCTCCGGAAAAAGAGGGAGGATACACAGGCAGCGCAGGGCAGCCAGTTGTGGGCCTAGAGGGCAGATGGTCTGGCCAGGGCTGCAGAAAGGCCCCTCTGGTGCAGTGCTGGAGGATATGAGTGGAGCAGGGAAGCCCGAGACAGTGGCGGGACCTTCAGCGCAATGCCGGGGGTGCACTGAGATTGGACTCGCGGAGCAAGTGCATGGTACTGCTTGAGGCGCCCAGACTTTCCCCAGGATCCCGGCCCTGCTTGGGTTCCCAGTGCTAGTCAGACGCTGGCGCCTCAACGCCTCCCTCTGCTGGCCAGTTCCGGTATCAGTTCTGGTTATAACTGACGGACCTTCCAACAGAACTTTAAAAAATAATCATTTTGTATTATGGTTAGGTGGGGAGGGTATTACATTTCCAACCACCAGATCTGCATTCAGCATCAACACCCACCTCATCTGTATTCGATTCCCCGCTTCCCCCGCCGCGCAATTTCTCTGTCTCTTAACCCGACCCCAGGCTCCTTTTGGTGCCAGTCAGTACTGTCAGCCTCCTGGTTTGTGGCTTCAGCTTCACCTGTTTCCTCTGACACGCACGTCCTGTCTGGGTGACTATCTTCTAGTGATATTTATCCTTTGGTGATGGACGCACGTCACTCAGCTTATATAAAGGACTCCAAACCTATCCGCGTCACGATGAGGCGCTTGGTGGTTTTGTCGTTGGCTTTTGGCATTCCCTTGTGTGTTTGAACCATAGTTTCTTCATCCATTCGCGGCTGGGGACATCTGGGCCGTTTCCAAGGGGAGCCCTTCGTGTGCATGTCTACAGACCACCTGCAGGGCATGAGCGTGACCCTCCCTCCCCAGCAGATAGGATTTTTTTTTCAAGTCGTATGGATAAGTATATTTGAACATTTTCTTCTCAGCATCTACTATATACAGAAGTAAATAACCATGAGATTCCAGTTCAAAAGGACCGAAAATGTAAGCTAGATTTAAAGTGCTGTATTTAAAACAGAAAACAAAAATACGGATTGTATTTTGGGGCAATTAAAATTCTTTCATTTTTGAAAGGTCAAACAAAAAAGAATGAAAAACACATATGGGATCATTATTCTATAATTCTTCTATTTTATTCTAAAAAAGGGTCTTTTTTGGAGATAGTGAGCTGGTCAAATTTATACTTCAGACCTTTGTTTATCTGTACTAAACCAGAAATTTCAGTGGCTACTATACCAGTTAACCTAAACTTCTTTGAAACAAGAACACTATCCTAAAACTCTGAAGTCACATCTTGTTTATGTCCCTCAAGAAATGCATAGTCTTTGAAAGAGTCAGAAACAGTAGTAAACTAGAGTTTGCTGAGAGTAGAGGTACTCTGGCTCACGTGCATCCACAATGGGGTCAGCAGCAGAGCAGCAAGCATGATTAACCATGAATGCAATCATGGCCAACACTTGTGGAACAAGTTTTCCTCTCAGTAAAAAAGCTAGTCCAAAAGGTCTCAAGACTCTATAAAGACATCATTTCTAGATCACAGTGAAAAGAATTTAGTACAACTGACCAATTTTGTTTACTAGTTGCCTTAGAGATAGATATCTCACAAAAATTGGTATTGAACAGAACAGAATGACATTGCAGAATGTAATATTGTAGTGTCAACACTGAGATGGATTGTTAGAGACATATTAAACTCTGAGTACAAAATGGTTACATCGTATTTATAGAGAACATTGGTCCAATACCATAGAAATGGAGAGCAGCCGCTGGAAATATAGCTCCCTCAATGTTCAGAGATAAAAAAGGTTAACCATTCTTCCCATTATTTTCTGTAGGTAAGTCCTTTTTCATATTGAAATCTGATGGTGATTAATTTCTGGCACTGTTCCAAGCTACTGTGTGAACAGGATGCTGAATGCCATCACAATATAACATGCTGCAACATAAGGACTCTTCCGCTCTCCAATTCTGGCACACTTCCAAAATATAGCCAATAGTCCAGTTTTATTTCTATCCAGGACGCTGGGAGCCAAGGATCGAATATAAGCACAGGTACATATAAGCAGCAAAATTACAGTCAACAGACTGAAAATTGAAAATGGCAGGCATAGTGACGCCGGCGAAGCCCCAGCCACATCACCCTTCCCAGCAGATATGACTTTGTGCAAGGTTTCTGTCTTTGATTTTCCTTTCCACTTAGCATTATACGAGGGGGTACCCCCCAAAAAAACTTTTTTTTTCAAAGCTATGTATTTAAATTTTTATTTTACCAAACAACTTTATCACCTTCAAAGGACTCTACATGACACTTAATACACTTGTCAAATCTGTGATTCCATTTTTGGAAACATTTTTCAAACTCATCTGTGTGGATGGCCGACAGTCCCTCCCTCGTTTGTTTCTTCATCTCTCCTAAGTCGTCAAATAGCTATCCTTTCCTGTCCCTCTGCATTCTGGAACAAAAAGAAGTCGCAGGGAATGAGGTCAGGTGGGGCAAGAAAGGCATGCTGCTTTTTGCCAAAAACTGGCTCACCGAAAAATGGCTGCGTGAGCAGGTGCATTGTCATGGTGGCAAAACCAGTCCCCCATCTGCCACAAATCGGGCTTTTTTGTCGCACACTGTTACACAATCTTTTCAAAACCTCTAAATAGAAAGCTTGATTAACCGTCTGACCTGGTAGCACAAACTCCAAATGCACTACCTCCCTCACATAAAAAACAAATGAGCATTGGGGTTGGGGGCTACTCCCTTGTATCTTGAGCATTCTCTCTGGCTACACTTTAGGGTCACTTCTTTTTCATCCAAAAGTATCACCACCATCAAAACAAAAACAAAAGACAGGCCAGGAAAACTACTCGCAGTGTCAAAAACAGATAGAAATTACTATCCGCAGCTCCCTCACCAATCCATAAGGAAACTATGGGAAAGGGAAGATAAGCAGAGTTTGTTCACAAAGGAAAAAACTCACATGGCTGGTGAATACTATGTCAGAAGCTGAGCCTTGAGGCTGACATCCAAGAATCACAAATGAAATCAGATCTGATCCCTTGCCTACCAGATCCTCAGAGAGACTAAAGAAGGCTGCCAGCAGTGAGGGCAAAGGATTGCTCTTGTGCCCTGGGGCAGAAGAAGTACTCTGTAGGAGCAGGTGGAACGATGCAGCCAGCATCTTTTAAAGAGCCCAACCGAGCAATTCCACCTCTGCCTGTAAGGTCCAAACTCACTGCAGCCCTGCAGAAGAGGGTCAGACTGCCCCTGTGAGTCTCCGAGACAAACTCTACAGGAGTGGAAAGCCCTGTCTTTCTCCCAAGGAGCAGCTGGTGGTTTCGAACTGCTGACCTTGCATTTAGCAACCCAAGTCTTAACCATTACACCATCAGGGCAGAAATAAGCTAAAACGTGGTCTCTGCAGGCAGTCCGGCCAGGGTGTAAAGGCCTCCTTTGGCACCTTCAGTAGCTGTGACTTGGATGGTTGTCTTAGACCCTCAAAGCCTCTTTGCCCTGCTGTCAGCGGCAGAGCAGTGGGAGATTCTGGTGTGGGCTGGTGCCACTACATGCAGCCCTGAGGTTAGGGGGTGGAGGGAGAAGTGCAGGGCTCTCCTGACGGCTGCCCCCATCCCAGGGGCCTCGGCGTGGACAGCAAGCCGGAGCTGCAGCGCGTCCTGGAGCACCGCCGTCGGAACCAGCTGATCAAGAAGAAGAAGGAGGAGCTGGAGGCCAAGCGGCTGCAGTGCCCCTTCGAGCAGGAGCTGCTCAGACGACAGCAGAGGCTCAACCAGGTGGGTGCAGAGCCTGCCCCCCCCCAGCCCCCAGCTGCCTCCAATTGGCTGTCTCCTGCTGCAGAGAGGGAAGAGGTTGAACCAAAAGAGCTCTGAACCAGGAGTCCACTGCTGTCCTGAATCTCCCCTCTCCCGCCCCCTTTGCTTGGTGGCTTTGGGCAAGGGCCTCTCCTCTCTGAATCCCGGAGTCCCTGAATCCCTCTGGCCCAGTGGAGTGTACACTGATTCCGATTCCATCCTTCCTGAGAACCCCACGGATTCCTTTTCCAGCAACGCCAGGCCTAGGTGAGGTGAGCGATTTGACCCCATCTCTACAGGAAGAACTTGGTCACCCCACTGCCCGCCAGCTACCCAGCTGGGAGCAAAGGCAGTCCTTGGCTCTGTCTCCTAGAACCTTTTCCCCAAACCCTGTGGCTCTTGAGAATAGGAAGCCCCCCTAGTCCCGCCCACCCTCACCCTTGTTTCTCTCTCCTTCAGCTGGAAAAGCCCCCGGAAAAGGAAGAGGACCACGCCCCCGAGTTCATGAAAGTGCGGGAGAACCTGCGGAGGATCGCCACGCTGGCCAGCGAGGAGAGGGTGCTGTAGAGCCGGCTGCAGGGTCCCCCAGCCCAGCCTGGGCACCCCGTGATGTTCCTGCTTCCGCCCGTAGAAGTGCGTCACCCCACACAGCCCGGCCCTCCTTGACTCTACCCTCTCAGCACCCACCCCTCTTGCCCCTACAGGAAGTGCCTGCCAGGCAGACGTTGGCCAAGGGCCTCTCCCCTGAAAGGACTTCTGAGCCCTGCAGTTTGCTTTCTGGCCAAGTAGCCCTCCTGCCCGGGCCTTCCGGATGGAGGCTGGCTCTGCTCCCCTGAGGTCATGGAGGGTTCCCCCGCAGCCAGGTGTGGGGCATCTCCCTGTGCTTGAGATCCACACAGGGAGGGGGGGCCTGGAAGTGGGCCGCGGGGGGTGGAGGCCACGAGCACTCACACAGACGGCTGGCTAGGGTTGCTCTTGCTATCAGCTCCGTTGCCTCCTGTCCCCACCTGGTCAGGCCTGCACGTTCCACAAGTCTGGGCCAGTGCGTCTCAGACTGCACTGTGCAAACCGCCTGAGGATCCTGCAGCTTCTGACTCAGTTGCTCTGGTGGGGGCGGGAGGACCTGCGCCTGCTTGTCTAAGCAGCTCCCAGGTGGCAGGGTGGCTGCTGGCTGGTAGAGGAGCCCCAGGAGCCCCCAGGGATAACTGTTAGAAATAGCACCCCTGAAGCCAACTCTGTCCCCACAAAACCCAATGGCCTCTGCCCTGGGATTCACACACCTAGCCTCCACCCTGCCTTTGTAGCCCCAGGGACTCCAGGCTTGAGTAGACTTTGCCCCACAAGTTAGGTGGGGTGGGGGAGGGCTGTCCTGTGATTGTGCTTTCCCCACACGTGTGTGCATGATTGCCAACCTGTATTTCCTACTGGAGTAGCCACAGTTAGGATGCAACTCTGGCCAAAAAATAAGACCCAACCCTCCCCTTGGTTCCTAGCTCCTAGGCCAGCTCCAGTGAATTCGCCTAGTCTTCTCCCTCAAAATTCCCTCTCTTGTGAAATAGTCAGTGTTTGCCAAGGTGAGCTATTCTGCCCCTGGGGATGAGGGCGCTGGAACCACCATGGGGGCTGCAAAAGCAGATGCCTACACTTTGCACTGGATGGTGGGCTGTGGCACAAACGTTTGGAGTTGCAAGGAGAGGCCTGAGAGTTGTTTTATGTCTGAAAGGGGGCGGCTGGTTGAGTACGTTTGGGAAACTGTATATCTTAACCTTTTGCGCCTATTCCATTTTTAAAGCCTTGGAGAATAAACCGGGCCTGTTTCTTTTCCCCTGAAGAACAAATCCCTGCTCCTGGCTTTGTAACGCGGTCCCTAAGACGGAGGGGCTGTGCTGGAACAGCCTTTCAACTGGAACGACCTGATCGAGCCCTGGGCTGCTGCCTCACTCCTGGAAACCAGCAGGGAGCAGGAGGGAGGAAACGGGGCACCCTGACCTGATTCCCAGCTGAGGGTGATGGAGGGAGTCATCCTCTGACTATGGGTGGTGCCAGCATAATGAGGGTGGGGGGAGGAGCTCCAAAGGTCTCCTGCATGTGATGTCTTGGTGAGAATGTGGTATAACTATTTTAAATGCGACCCAGGTGAGGTGAGGCTAGAGGTGCAAGACCCTAAATAAAGCGCACCACTGGCCTAAGGAAGTCAGCCGCAGGGTGGGGGGCTGGGAGGGGGGTTGGCGGGGAGAGTCCAGGATGGGTCAGGACCCTCCAGACAGTTCGTGGAATCTCACTGGGGGTCCCAAACGAGGCACTGATGAACCCCTGGAGTAGAAAGGACCTTAGGCTCTGGGTCATTCAGGGAAACAGTGGTAGACAACCTTGGTTCACTCCCAGTCAATCCCAACTGCTCCCCTCTAGCCACCTTCCATAAAGCCTGGAAATGCAGATTACTTCCCAGCAGTCTTTGCACCAAGGAGGACCATGGGACCACATGGGGCCAATGAAATGTAAGAGGAAGTCTGTACAGGCTTCTGGGAAAGCTGATGCTTTTCTGATCAAATGGACCTGGATAGCCAACACCTTTCTGCCCATCCCTCCTTCCTGCCTTGAGATGAGGCTTGGGTCCACAGCAGCCACAGCAACCAGGAGAAAAAGGCCTAGAGGCTCCCAGGAGCTGCCAAACCAGTGCCAGCAATTACCCTCCACGTTCTTGTAAACAAGAATAAACCCTTCTTTGTTTAAGTCATTGTTGGTCAGGTCTCTGTTACTTGCAACTAAACGCATTCCCGGCATAGGCTGCCAGCCCTGCCTGCCCATCAGAATGAGCTGAGGGTTGTGCCCAAAGCCCACTTTCTTCTTCCCCACCTGCCGGGTCAGGACCCCCAGCAGTGGTGCCGAATTGTATTTGGACATCACTAATTCAGCATTCCACAAAGCTTTGCACTCAGCTGAGGCTGTGAACCTGGTTCTCAGATCTTTCTTTGCTTGGAGGGTGGAGTTTGAATTCCAGCGGCAGGTATGGTTATCTGAGACCTGCCTTGCAGGTGGAGATGGGTTCACCTTCACTTCTAAAGGGAACCGTCATAGTTTGTTCGTTCATCATGCGTGCTAACAAAATTGCAAGATTGGAACAAGAGGAACCGAGTAGAGGATGCCTCAGCTCAAAGCTGAGCTCCAGTGCGGCATCAGGAGGGAAAGCCTGGCTCTCTGCTTCCAGAGCTCAGCCAATGAAAATCCTCTGGATCCCAGGAGTGGGGCCTGGAGTTGTTCCAAGCTGAGGGCGGTCTCACAGCAGCTCACAAAAGCAACAGGCAAATACTGATACGCTTCCCATCTCTCGCTCAGCTTGAATTGAAGCCACATGAGGGCAGAGATAAAAGAGATATAAAGTAAAATATGCTCAACAAATATTTATTAAGCATCGACAACCGCATCAGGCATTGTGCTCCAAAATGCCCAAACTCCTGCCGTGAGTCGATTCTCACTCAGCCACCCTAAAAGGACAGAGTACAACTGTCCCCTATCATTTCTGAGACTGTACATCCTATGAGGGGAGAAAGCCTCATCTTTCTCCCATGGAGCAGCTGGGGTTTTGAACTGCTGACTTTGAGGTTAGCAGCCCATGCATAACCACTATGCCACCAGGTATCCTGGCACTGGGCTAGGTCTTGGTCATTTTGCAGCTGGTGTTTGATACCTGTTTGTTGACTGACTGAATGAGAAACCTTGCTCCCCCTTCTTCCACGGCAGTGCCGCCAGCCCCCTCCCATTCCCATAGCAATTAAGGAGGTACCCACCTGTCTCGGCAACTTGGCCTAGACCCAGGGGAGCCTGTCAGAAGGCCTCCTCTGGCCTGGTGGTGCTCAACAATGAATGCATTTGTGCCTGCAGGACCCACAGTGGAGCAGCATGGTCCTCCCCACCCCTCTGAAAAGTCTTTGCTCAGCTCAGACCCGGCCCTACGTGGTCTGGCTGAGCCCACACTTTCACACCCACCTGGCCAAACCTCCTGGTTTGGGTTTGGAGAGCACTTTCTTTGCTGGCAGACCCTGTGCTGAATACAAAGCTAGGGAGGGAGGGCAGCCTCGAGGAGGTCCAGGGCCTCTCCTCTCTGGTGCTGCGGTGTGGGCTCCAGGGGGCTCTAAGGACCCCATGCAGGTTCGAGGCAGCCTCCCCAGCCCCCCACCTCCCACTGCTCCAGATGATGCTGACTCTGAACTGGGAGGGCAGATGCCGCTCTCATTCTGCTCAGCGCTCGCTCCAGCCGCAGCTCAGGCTCCTGCTCACAGTGCGTGTTCAGAAACCGATGTCACTGGTGACGATGTCGCTGTACTTGTGGAATACCAATAATGTCACTCACCATGCCAATCCAGCGGCATCTCTGCATCATGCTGATGAAGGTGGCGAAGCTCAGAGAAGTTAAGACGTTTGCCAGATGTCACAAAGCAAAGCCCACAAAGAGAGGAGATTCATGTCCACCATCCAGAGCTGTCTGTCTGCGTAGAGTGTGCTCTTGCTGCTGAGCAGACTTTGCTCAGGGAAAGGGCTCAGGAGGCCCCTGCACGCTCATGCCCTTCCGCGGGGACCTGGCCGTCTACTTTGCCCTTCTGCAGTCGGGGGGTTTGGTTGCCATCAATGAAAACAGAGTTAGGCCTCAGGAGACATCCGTGAGTCCTGGGATGAGGACAGTCCACACCCCGAGGTAGCACTGCCCTGGATGTCACATCGCTGTCCCCAATGCTACCCATCTCTGGGATCAGATCCGAATGGGCCATCAAAGTCAGATCTCTCCCTTGACAACACCTGACCTACGACGGGTTGGAACGAGTTGATTTTTCACTGCCAAAGATCCACTGATACACCTCACACTCACCAGGGTGCCGTCGCCCCTTGGCGCCCACTCCTCCGAGGCCTCACAAGGACCTCATGCTAGACAGATGCCCACCCGCCCTGGGCAGGGAGCTGGGCTTTTTTCCCAAAGTTTCCCCTCTAGTCAATGTACTAGTTTACTTCTCTGAAAAGGCCGTTTGCCCACTGGGGAACCCTTCGCGTTCATTGCTTGGCAACAGTTAGGTGACTGGGGCCTCCTTGCACAGTGAGGCTTGGGGCTAGGACCCCCACGATGTGCTCACACGTCTTGGTGCTTGATCTGAAATGTTCATGTGTCTACACAAGGCTACCCTGAGCCTCTCCTGGCAAACCCCAGCAGGTTGTCAATGAGGTAGGTGAACATAGGCACAGGAAATGTCTCACTACAGACTAGTAAGTAAGCACAAGGAAGCTTGTGCTTATCTTGCTTCCTGGGTACTTATCTTTGCCAGGGATTTTCAACTTGAAAAGAGGCTTGGATTCCATAGAATGGTGGTGTGGGGTTGAGACAGACCCATGCCAGACAGACCTAAATGCAGACTTTTTGATACGGTGGGCAAAATGTGAGTGTTCACGACAGATTACTGCTACGCATTACACATGCCTGTGCTTACCTAGTTGATTGGGTCAACCTCAGAGCCATCCTGGGGCTCAGCTCACCCTGCACATCCTTGCCGTGCTGAGAGAACACGCCCCCTCGGTGAAAGATCAACTGTGTGAATCCACCAGGTGCTCCAAAGGAAACAGATGTGGCCACCTGCTTCCAGAAAGATGAGTGCTTCGGCCATCCCACAGGGAAGGTCTACATTCTACAACAGTGGTTCCCAACTTTCCTAATGCCATGACCCTTTCATACAGTTCCTCATGTGGTGGTGACCCCCCAACCATAACATTATTTTCGTTGCTATTTTCATCACTGTCATTTTGCTACTGTTATGAATCAGGCGACCCCTGTGAAAGGGTAGTTCGACCCCCCAAAGGAGTCGCGACCCTCAGGTTGAGAACCACTGGTCTACATGGTCGGTATGAGTCAGACTGGACTCCAGGGCAATGAGCTGGGTAGTGGGAAGGGACACCCTGGGTGGAACAGCCAATGGAAAGGTTGAGTGCTCTAGTTCATCCGGCAATACCTCAGAACAAAGGCCTGCTTATCTACTCCTGAAAGTTCAACCACCCAAAACCTGCAGCACCTGACATCCCCACATATGTGTGGTTCCCTTTTCCCACTAGGATCTTAAATTCCATGCCATTGGCTAGATTAATGCTATTAGTAGAATTACCAAATGCCCCTTATAGTTTATATTACTGCTCAAGCCGCTGATAATGCTGCCTCTAAAGTTAACCAGGAATATATATAAACCTTAGATATATGAATGGATGTTGAGCTCACTCTTAATCATAAGCCCTGATCTAAGAACAAGTCATTCTTATGATGGGACCCTGCTTGATACTCGCCGTCATGAAGCCATCACTGGAGATACACGTTGTGTTAGGCCAGCCTGAGGAGAGAAACAAATGTAGTAACACTCACATATGCATAAGAAAGAGCTTCAAACCAAAAGAGCACCCCAGCCCAGTCCAACACAAGTTCCTAAGTCCATCAGTCCCTCTTCAGACACATGTAGCCACGTGCAATGATGCAGGATGCAGGCCATCGCAGGCCGGTCGGTGCGAGTAGTGTGGATCCAAGGTTGGTAGAAACATAGTAAGGCTCCGGCAGCTCTTGGGGTCAGTAGCAGAGAATGGGGGGAGTGTTGGTAGGGAGAGGAGGGTCCAGGTTCCTCTTTATGAGAAGGCCACACCCCTGATGACATGGTATCAAACTGTGACCTAATTGGCAGGTTTGACTCCACCCCTAGCCAGGAATTTCTAGTTGACATAAAATCATCTGACTATGACATGGGTACTAGACCAAAGCATGAAGAAATCAGATGGTGCCAGCTATCAGAAAGAATATCAAGTGGAGTGATAAAGACTT